AAAAAAAATCATAATTTAATTGATTTTTAAAACATTAATTTGAGGTTAACTTTGCCTCAGGTATTATAGTATGGTACCATGAAACTCGGTTTTCTAGTAATACTGCATCTTACCATTATGGCAGTGGTTCTCAACCTTCTTAATGCCGCGACCCTTGAATGCAGATCCTCATGTTGTGGCGACCCTCAACCATAAAACTATTTTCGTTAGTACTTCATAACTGTAGAGGATATGCATTTGCCGATTGTCTTATGTGACACCTTTAAAGGAGTCATTCGACCCATAAAGGGGTCGCCACCCACAGGTTTTGAACTGTTGCATTATATGGGAAAATGTTGAAGAATAAAATAATATCTTAGTTTAGTTATGAAAATTTTATGTATGTTTTGAGATTTTTTTGGTGATGTGACAAGGGGGGGGGGGAGAATTTGTGACTTTTCGTGACAAGGGGAGGGGGTGTCTAAAAAGTTTATTTTTAACGTGATGTAATTTACGAATGACCCCTGCCTTAGGCAAATTATTTTTGTTAACACTATAAATATGAGAATATGTTTTATGCCTATAACTATCATAGTTTCTGATGCACTTCTTACAATTTTGGCCCAATATTAGTTTTTTTTCCTCTAGCAGTAGCTGTAACTGTATGAACTTAAGTTTAAGAGTAATGTCAGTAAAGAGTAACAGACAGAGATAGCAAGATACACACTCGAAGATAAAGAGTTCAGGGGGAATCAGACACAGAGTTAGAGCGAAAGGGAGAGAGATATACAAACTAACTGAGATAGACTGACAAGGAGAGACACAGACATGCAACAAACAGTGATAGACTAGACTTGACCAGAGCGGCAGCGAAAGAGACGAGACGGATACACACATTAATTAACTGAACATAACAAAACAAGGGTAAAATGCGATTTAAAAATACAAATTTTATTTTTTTTAATGATTTAAGTCCAATTTATCGTGCTTATGTTAATTTGTTTTGTTTTCTTGTGGTGGGAAATTTTAAAAAATTCAGGTCTGTCTGTTAACTTTTTCGTCGGTTTGTCGGTCAGCTGAGCGAATCGGTCGCCATCTTTAAATTTTGTTTACACTATAGCTATCTCTCATTGGACCTTTAAATCATGTGACTTCAAATGTCACGTGATATTAGTAGGGGTGTGCCGGACCCCGGTCCGGAATCCGGTTCCGCCGGATTTTGCACTATCCGGTGAAATCCGGTTCCGCCGGATTTACATGTATCCGGAACAACCGGATTCCGGAATCCGGAATATACCGGATTTCGGAATTTGCCAGATTTTGTGACTCACCGGATCATAATCTGAAATAAAAGTAATTCTCTTTCCCGAATTTCACACGATCACGATACATTAATCGATTGTTTCGAGCGTTGAGCTTGTTTAATGTTTAATATTCCGTACATACCAGAGGCTAGAGTCAGCACCGCTAATAGTGGCCAATAGTGTAGGGACTTTGATAAGAAAATTTAAACTTTTTGTAAAAATAAACCAATGGCATAGTTGAAAAGATGTAATTTTTTAAAGAATTATAACACCAAAATCATATTTTTAGCTGTTGTAGTTTTAAAGTTATGAATTTTTAAAGTACGACTTGGTTTGTCATTTTTTAACATGGACTGCATCTCCACATTCTGTGATCTCATTCCACCAATCCCGTCATGCGCAATGACTATATAGTTTATATAAGGCAACGCATTCCCTGCCTTATCACTAAAATACTGTTTAGACTTAGTTTAAACTTTCAACTTTGGCACATGAATAATTAATTAAAGCTTTCCCTGACCAATGGTTTAATAGTTTTTGCACACGGCAAACTCTTATGAATGAAACTCTGAGGTAGTACTACGATACAGTTATGCAAGTGGCTGTGAATGGTTGCCAATGACAACGTGTTGCACACGGTAAATTCTGATCATTTATAATATGGATTCTACCGGGTTGTTAAAGCTCAAATTAAAACATTCCAGTTTAAATGTCTTTAAATGCATTCTGAAACACAAGTTATCAATTATTTTGATGTAAATAGTGATAATAAATTAATATTTCCTAAGTATCGTCAACTTCCGCCATTAAAAAGGGGGGCGTGGCCAACCCCATGGCGAAATTAGGTTGAGCGAGCTGCATAACCTGCTGCGAACGCGTAGAAACATGGCGTCTCTCGTAAGACACTTATCCAAATGGAACGGAACTCAAATATATATCGAAAGTACTAATTTAATAATAAATAGACACACACATCGGAAAATTAAAAACTCGGATTTTTTGGCGCCGATTGCGAATTCCCATACACAAAAAGTAGTAGTCCACCTTGACTTACCGAAGTATCTACCAATAGTACCAAAATCCGGAATCCGGGAGAAACCGGAATCCGGATCCGGCGGATTTCGCATAAGAAAATCCGGATCCGGTTGGAAAAAACGGATCCGGCACACCCCTAGATATTAGTGACTTAGCCCCCTTTTCCATTGTAAACATTGGACTATGCTTCTTTTTCCATTGTAAACGGATTTTTCGTTTCCATTTTTCATATGGACTTAGCTATTTTTTTCTCCTTTAAACTTAATTCAGCACCTTCTATTTTTAACTGGCTATAAGTCAGGGGTGATAACTCAAAAAAATTAAAAATGGACTCTGCCGTTTTTTCCCTTGAGGTCTTCACTTGTATAAATTTTTGAGCTCTACTCCTTTTCCTGCCCTCGGGGTACTTTTCACCATTGTGCATCCAATTATGGTTTCTTTTAGCTGGGCGTTACTGAGAAAGTTGTCTGAATGCTTATTAGCTATTATTATTATTCTCTCTCACAAACATTTTGATGATATTTTGTGTAAAAATTAGCATAAATACTCCACTTATGCCATGAGGCATGATCATATTTATAATATAGTCTAAGGGCAATCCTCCGAAGTCCGGTCCCAAATTATTTCCAATGATTACTCCTTACTTAAAATTCTTGGACATCATTCTGTTTTGAAATTCATGTCTGCGGCAGTGGACGATGTTGGATGGAGGTTGTCTGCTGTCGAGATGCACAAACACTCAAGCGCATTATCACTAATCATGTGTCACCAGGGACAACTACCGTCACGGACGATGGGCGAGGATATCAAAATGTCGGTCAGCTCAACAGTGGGATTTATGTTCACGTTGTCATTGTGCATGCGCGTGAATTTGTTGATCCAGTAGGCAGTAGACCAGGACATTGAACTATTGAAAGACTTTGGATGCAAGCGAAACGTAAACTCCGTTATCAGTGGTACTAGTCGTGGTCTGTTTGCCAGCTACTTGGGAGCCTTTCAGTGGCGCAACAGTCACAAGCAGAACGTTTTCGGCTCCTATTTGCAAATGCTATGCGCCAATTACAACATTTAGTGTTTACTGACTGGTTTGTAAAGTGACAGTTATTTGCAAAAGCTATGACAGACATCTCTGCTTTTTTCTAACAATACACACTGTGCATTGCAATTTTTTTCATACGAAATAATTTGGGACCGGACTTCGGAGGATTGCCCTGTCTATAGGCTCTATTTTTTCTAAAAAATCATAGGGGTCATCTCTATCCAATTCAGAAATCCTAATCCAAGGATTCACAACATTATTGTAAACCAAATCATTTTGATTGTCTTCATTACTTTCCTGATTGTTTTCGTCAGTGTCAGATTCACTGCTAGACATTAGACAGCGAGAAATCAAGAGGGTTACGTCCCAAGAGGGTTAACGAAAAAGCTCTCGGGTGACCAGCTCTCCTACCAGCAATGCTGCTAGTACATGAATTTCAAATATCCTAGTCCAGATTTTCCCAAGTGTTTTTGAGTCACAGCCCCGTTGCTGCACCCACGTCTTTTCAATTTTGCTCTATCAGTTAGTCCATCATCTATGCCACATTCTGTGAGCACCGTAAAATAGCACTTTTTAAACAATCTAATCCATTTTTGAAGCTTTATACTTATACAAGAAGAAATACCTCAATAACTTCACTTGACTCTATCAAAACAATATTTAATTGATACAGCAGAAACGCTGCACAAAACCAACTGCTACTTTAATAAGTACACTAAGTATAGGTACTTTAATATAAATTTTTAAAAAATTGAAATAATTTTTTAAAATAATACAGCAAGAGCAAATAAAAAAAATTAAACCAGAATGAACTTTTTAGCTTAAGTTCTTTTTGAGCTACGAATTTTTAAAGTGTGAGTTCGTTTGGTATTTTTTACTATGGACGAAACCTCCACATCTTGTGACCTCATTCCGCTGTTCGCGTCTTGTGCAATGACTATACTATATACTTTATATAAGGCAATGCATTCCCTTATACTATATACTTTATATAAGGCAATGCATTCCCTTATCACTAAAATACTGTTTAGGGTCGATTTAGATTAAACTTACTTTCAACTTTGGTACATGAATAATTAATTAAAGCTTTCCCTGACAAATGGTTTAATAGTTTTTGCACACGGCAAACTCTTAGGAATGAAACTACAATACAGTAGTACTACAATACAGCCATTATGCAAGTGGCTGTGAGTGGTTGTCAATGACAACGTGTTGCACACAGTAAATTCTGATAATTTATATGTTAAAGCTCAAATTAAAACATTCAAGTTTAAATGTCTTCAAAATGCATTCTGAAACATAAGTTATCAAATATTTTGATGTAAATAGTGGTAATAAATTAATATTTCCTAAGTATCGGCAACTTCCGCCATTAAAAAGGGAGTGTGGTCCACCCCATTGCGAAATCAGGTTGAGCATGACCTGCTGCAAACCCATAGAAACATGGCGTCTCTCGTAAAACACATATCGCTGTGAAAATTGGCATACATGTAGATCAATACATTCCCCAGATGCAAAAAAAATTTGGTAATGACAAGTTTTTTACTTCGACTTAATTTTAATGATGAAAGTTGCCTTATATTTACCAAGGATTTCTCAAAGCTGACCGATTTTAAATGAAAAAGAAATTGATTAAAATGTAGGCCAAGATGTCCTCTAAAGCCAAGGCCGGAAGAGGAACACAATTCTGGGATAAAGTAATTATTTTATGAATGAAATAGTTCCACTATCAAAAAAATTAAAACTCGGATTTTCACACGCCAACGCCCAATTCCCATACAAATTTTTTTAGTAGCATCCCTTGCTTCATCCAAGTACCTTCAAAGTACCAAGTAGGTTGGAGAACTAGTGAAACATACCAACTTAATTATAAATAGCTTGCATTAAGTCCATTAATTTTTTAACACTTCAGGTTGCAGCTGGACACAGTCTGGGAGCCCCTGTCCTAGTCAATTACATGCCCTAATAAACACATATCTTTACATTTTCTGTTAACACCTAGCATCATCCTTAAACCCCCCCCCCCCAGGCTCGCAACCGCACATTTTTTCATGCCCCTGAACTTATGGATAATGTCCCACCCGTTTTCATATGGGGATTTCTTTCACCAACCATATCAGAAAAACAAAAGAAAATATTCCGCACTTGAAATATTTTTAAGAATCTCATTGAGCGCAGTTTATAATAGCTTTATAATAGATATTAGTGAGTATCGAAATTGCAGGATATTAATCAGATGTAAGCACTTCCTGCAGATATCACATAGGCCAACTCACCAGAACGCATAATCTCCAAAATCAATAACTGCGCTCCCCCGCATTATTAAGTATAATCAATGAATGTACCCAGTGGCGTAGTATTGGGGAGGGGGGTATGCAGAGGGGGCGGTCCACACTGGGCGGCACTTTTTAAAATTATATTATGGGGCGGAATTTTCGAGAAACTGCAGTGTTTTTTGGAGGGTTGACATAATTCTCGACCCCCACCTGGGCAGCACTAACCCTAGTTACGCCACTGGATGGACCCATCTCATGCTGATTTAGTATAAATCCTGTGACTCTTTGCTCTGTAGAATCATTATATTTCCTGGTATTTCGCATTGTAAATTTATGAGCCTTTGGGCAACCGCAGTATCCATGTATGTGTGTCCGGAAGAAATGGAGAGAGGTGTGGCACATGCGGACAAGGCAAGGGGGGGGGGTGGTCGTCGTATTTTGTGCGGGCCTCCTTTAAGGGTAACCCCCTACAGCAGGGGTCGGGAATCCATGGCTCGCGAGCCAGATGTGGCTCTATTGATGGCTGCATCTGGCTCGCAGACAAATGTTCGATTTAAAAAAATAAATGTTTCTTTAGACTCATTTGATTAGCAACAGCATAACAATGTTATTAAAAAGAATTCAGAGACATAATTATTGCATTTTTAGTGTTGAAATTGCACAAATTCTCACATTTACTTGAATTTTTAGTTTTAAACATAATGTATGGCTCTCACAGAATTACTTTTCAAAATATGTGGTGTCCATGGCTCTCTCAGACAAAAAGGTTCCCGACCCCTGCCCAACACTCGACGTCTCTGCCATACCGACAAGTTTGATTTTTTTGTCCCGGTTTCATTCTCAGTTTGGTAGAAATTCATTTGTCCTATGTCATTGTTAGTCCCACATACACTGTTAATATATCAGAGCTTGGTTGGTATGAAAGTCAGTCTTTAATGACAGCCTGCCTATGCTAAAATTATGTGCATCAAGTTGAAAGCTTTGTATAGTAACGTAACGTGTTTTTATTTATGAATTATAGCCCACGAGTAAATTTAAGGGTCAATTTGATCCCCCCCCCCCTCATTTTTCCACTCAACCCCTTAGACGTAGCCTACAGTGAAAACTCTTATATAAATACTATAATTAGTAAATTAGTCATTATTACATGACAATAGGCTTCATAGGCAATGCTATTGTCAATAGCTCCTTAAACTCAAGTAGATTCTAAATCCTTTTTAAAGCAACGGTAACACATTTTTGGTTAATTATAAAATAAAAATTAAATAATATTAATTATAAAAAAATCAGGAAAAGCAAAAATGACTTGTAAAACATATATAAAATCAACATCTTATGGTTATTTCTACTTGAAAGTCTCCATTTGAACAGTTTCATAATTATTATTTATTTCGCTTGCATTCCTAGCTGAGAATACATTTTAATGTCTCAACATCGCTCGTCTTCCGTTTTCAAAATGGAGTCCATAAACAAGGAAGAACCAAAAATTGCAGGCCTTTCGTTTGGTTTCTCGAAGAAACAAGAGGTTAGAAAACTTTCAAAATCGGTTGTAAGCGAGGCTTCTGAAAAAGAAGATAAAGAAAAAGACTTTGTGTTATCTCTCGAGGGTAAAGAAGTAAATTCAACAAAAAAATCTCGCAAAGTTCAAGAAAATGAGTATGTCATTCCTCTAATAAAATGTAACAAATGGCGCATGGGAAAAGAAGATGGATCGAAACAAAAGTTATATCGTGAAGAAATTGCTAGTTTAGATAACCTAGATGCTCTTGCAGCTAAAGAAATTTTACAAGAATCTGCTAAATATAATGAAACATGGGAAGATGGGGGTGCAACAGACACAACCATAGCGATTCCACTTTTAATGCAAAACAAGATACCAGATGGATTTGAATCAGATGAAAAATTAGATGTAGCTTTACGACCAGAGGAACCTGATGAAGCTGATTATGAAATGATACCTATAGAACAATATGGCATGGCAATGCTCAGAGGAATGGGGTGGAATCAAACTCGTGGTATCGGTAAAAATGGCAAAGTTGTGGCACCTATTGAGGCACAACTGAGACCTAAAGGACTAGGACTAGGTGCTGATAAAAGTAATTTAGGATCAGATAAGAAGCAGTTAGGTTCAGAGAAGACAAACAGTATTCCAGACGAAAATCTGGAACTTAAAAAGAATTCCTATTGTGTTGTAACACATGGTATCAATAAAGACATGTATGGAGTAGTGGAAGGATTCGATGAAGATAATGCTCGCATTATGTTAAAACTAACACTGAGTGGCAAGGTTATAAATATCATTCAAAGTTATGTGCGTGTTGTTGGCAAAATGGAATATGATAAATATTCCAAATACTTAAATAAGGAAAAAGTTGACAAATATAAAGAAGAAGAAATGAAATTGACCAATGGAAAAACTAGCGTTACTAACATTGATGCAAATGGTAAAAGATCTCATCATAAAAAAAAGAGTAAAAAAAGAGACAACTCAGATCATGAACATGATTCACCACATCATAAAAGTAAAAAGCAAAAGAAAGACAAAGAAAGGGGCAGACATAAAAACAAGACTAAACACAACAGTAGCGACCAGCATTCATCCAAAAACTATTCCAGCAGTGGTTCATCAGATGAAGAAGCATTGGCTACCAACAAGAGTTCTCCGCCATGGTTACGCAATGATTTGAGAGTTCGCATCATTGACAAAAATGTGAAAAGAGGAAAATATTATAATGAGAAAGTTGTAATTATTGATGTTCCGTCATCTGGTATTTGCATGTGTAAAACAGAAGATGGTAAAGTTATTGAAAACTTACTCCAAACACAGTTGGAAACTGTTATACCAAAGAACGACAGGGCCTATGTTGCTGTAGTATCGGGATCACACAGAGGGCAAATAGGTCAGATAATTAAACGACAGAAAAATGACTGTACAGCTGTTCTTCAGTTACTATCAGATCGAGACAACTTGCTAACATTACACTATGATAACATTTGTGAATATGTTGGAAATGTTCACCATCATGATGATTATTAATTTCTTTTAACGGCAAAAAATATCTAATCATTTTGTTTAGTACGTGTGGATGGAAAAATTACCTTCAGGAGATGATTTGATATTGAAAATGTGCGTATTAAGTGTAACATTAACATACAGGAAAATTGTTTGTGAGATTTCATATCACTTCAAATCAGGATTACAGTACTTTAGACAACTTATGTTCCATATCTATTAATTGTTGGAGGAATATCAAATATTAAGTCTAACTCAACATCTGGATCTTGTTAGTTAAAGTGAGAAGTTTAACATTTTTCATAACTGAAAATGTAAATATTTTTCTGTAAAAAAAAAAAAATTGTGATTAAAGTATTTCTAAAGGAAATTTTCTTAGGGTTCTAATAACTTCTAATGTAAGGTTTAAATCAACTTACATTTAAATATATTTTTGTAACATTCAACCACTAATTGCTTTGAAACTCTTGCTTTATGTTTTTTTTGTTAGTGTACTTTAAAAAAAATAATGCTTAAACTATTCTTACCAATACCACCTAAGCTGTTTTAAATACAATGTAGTTGATGGTATTATCCAAACTAGTCTTGTGACAAAGGTTAGTTTGTGTTTAGAAAAATCCTGTTGAAATACATACAAATTCCATATTTTTACCAAATTGTTTAAGTAAGCTGGTACACTAGGCTATTGCTGGTAATAGTTGTTAAATGAATTAAAAGTTTTAATTAAATAAACAATGCATATTTAATTTATGTTTGTACTTCCTTAATTGAGATTCTCGTTTTGACTTTTCATCTTATATTATTACATTATCATTAACAGAAATAAAATCTACTGGACCGGTACCGTAGATCGAATGATTTGTACAGGTGATGCATACATATGAATAATTGGTAATCAGCTATCCTCAGATTAAATTTAAATGACTCTTAACTCATCTGCATCTACAATGGTAGAGAAGGATACTTTCTCAGGGAATATACATCAGGAGTTGAAATTCAATCATTAAGGATTCTTTTCATAGTCAAATTTTAATTATGACTATCCATCCATCCCTGTAGCGCTACAGCCCATGTAGGGCTTTGGCCTGCATCACTACCTCCTTCCACTCAGACCTAACAATTTATGCTTTTCTTTTCCATGCTTGGATTCCCAGCTGCTGTAAATCTTTTTCAACATCATCCATCCATCTAAGCCTAGGTCTGCCTTTGAGCCCGCTTTCCTCTTGGGTTTTGTCGATGTACCATACCTTTTCCCTCCTCTATCACTATCATGTGCATGGGCGCCCGCAGGTAGGGGCAAGGTGGGGCACTTGCCCCCCCCCCCCTGGATTGATGGGATAAAAATTTTTTAGACAAAAATAGAAAAAAAATGTATTAAAGTAAAGAGAAAATAAAGAGAAAGTAACTAAGCTGATGTCCTGTCCGTTAGTTCGTTCACCATACAAATAAGCTACAGTAAATTAAAACTACATTAAAACATTACTAAAAAAATTTTGCAAAATAAAACCACCATAAAAAAAAAATTTTTCCCCCCCCCCCCTGGAAAATTAATCTTATTTTGTTTGCCCCCCCTCCCCCCCCCCTTAGACTAGAAAGTTTTCTGCGGGCGCCCATGATCATGTGGCATTATTTCTAAGTGTCCTGCTCAGAGTAGCCTACCCTTTTTTATTTCTGCTACTAATGTGGAATCCTGATATAGACTGTACAATTCCTAGTTGGTTCGTATTCTCCATCCATATTCATACTCTGTTGGTCCGTATATTTTTCGGAAAACTTTATGGCTATGCACTTGAAAAATATACTTTACATAATGGTTGAATTTCAAGAGCATGGTTAAAATTAAAAATTTTTGTAAAGCATTTCTTTGTGCTGTTTACATAAACTAACTTTTTTATTATTTACTACCGGTACCGGTACATGGCATTGGTTAATAATTTTGTTTAATTTCTTACTCTCCATCATCATCCTAATAATGGTGGAGCACAAGTACCTACAATTAGCCATCAGATAATATTTGGCTGAAGGGAAAAGAGGGGGAGTGTAGTAATTGTAAGAGTAAGACTAGTAAGAGGCAGATTGAAAGTCAGTAATGAGAGAGACTGCAATCAAGCTTTACCAAATGATGCCTAGAAATCGAATAAAAAGCATTTATAACACCCAAAAGATGAAATATAAAGTAAAGTGTTGGAGTTGGATATAAAAAAAACCAAACAACTTGACTATAAATTATAAATTAAACAAGTACAAGCATAACACTAACTAGACTTAGTATTTAGGCTTGGACTTGGTGGGCCCTAAAACTTTAAAAGTTCAAACTTGATTATGTACTTACGGCCGGTACATGTAAAATTTATATGCGTAAATATGTCAAAATTTATAATAATCTTAATCATGTTACTATTTTTACTAAATTTATTAATGATTACACATGACAACCGCTCTCATATTATTTATTATTATTAATTATGGAGCTTTAAATTCCACTTGTTTTTCTGGTTAGGGATCTAAAATGAAATCAATAACTATGACGTCAATGATATTCTCTGAGTCTGAGATATCACTTTGCTGATCAAACCATTAATATTAAATGATGTAGGCCTACTGGTAATACATTTTATAAATAGGTAAAACCCGTTAACTGTGGGGGAAAAACCCATTATCCTTTGGTGAACTCCCCCTTTGAATCGATTACGTATTTGAAAAACATACTGGGAGTCCTTTTTATTTTTTGCATTACGTGTCAGCTCGTTCATCTCACTATTTCATAATTCATGACAACCTTTTTGAACGTTTGCCTTATATTTATACATAATATTACACGTTGGTCTTTAGTAGTAAATCTCTGGTATTTAGGGTATTGGTTTCCTGCAGTATTTCACTATTTTTTATAATTACAGTAAATAATAAAGGCTATAGTTCTATAGTATATACTACTACTAAAAAGATCAATACTTGGAGGTCGAGATTCCATCTCTTAGGACCTTTGGCCGTGAAACATAGCCTAGTAGTCCCTGGGGACTCCGGTTTTGCGTCACAGCCCCCCTTGCCCATTGAGTCTTACTGTCTGGACGTAGGGTTGGAACAGCTTTGCTTCCTCTCCGGAGATGACGTTGCGTTTCCACCCCCACCGCCCAGGGAGCCGTTCGTTCCTTGGCGTGGCATGGCTTTGCTTCCACTCCGGGAGTAGTCACAAGCTTAACTTTCTCCCACTGTTCCTGGGAGTTGTGTGGACATGGGTCAAAACGGCTTTTACTTCCTCTCCGGGGGAGGCGTTGCGTTACCTCAACCCACCGTTCGGGGAGTGGTTCGGTCTGGACGTGGCGGGGACGAAACGGTCGCCTAGGAGCGGCTTTATCAAGTCCGCATGTTTTTAATCCTCGGCAAGGGTTTTAAAAGAAAACTCATGCCTCACATCCATTATCGGCAACATGTAATCATGTTAGCGCGCAACTTCCGACACGTTGGAAGTCATGCGTTTGGCTGGGATTTTTTTAGCTTCAAAAGGAACCTCCCCCCCCCCCCCACTAGCCGGGCACGCCACGAAGAGGCAAAATCCCGTGTAACAAAACTAGAGCAGGTGATGCTGGACCTTACACTTACAGAGTTCGGCCTTTGCCCGCCCGCTATGCTACTACTACTATAGACTGTTTAGACTATACACTATAGTGTAATGCGGACCCATTTTAAGTTTTTTTTTTAATTTCTAAAAATTAAAAAGGTCTTCTGTAGGTACTCTTGGATTTGCTGGCCTCTAGTACCGTATTAATTATTAAACTTAAACTGATTTGAAGACATATCTATTTCGCAAACACCTGCTGGGATGATGTTGTCTTATATAGCTATTATCTTGTGGATGTGTATTGGCCTGTGTTGTTTATGGTTGTTAGGTATGAAAATGAAAGACTTCGAATGGGTATTCTCGTACCGGTATATAGTTTTTGCAATGTTGCATTTTGTATTTCAATGTGATATATTGTAGATTGTTTCATTTTTCTTGTCTTTTAATATACTCGACTCTGTACCGCGCTTCGAGCCTTTGGGGATCAAGCGTGATTTTCAAATAAACTTTATTATCGGTAATATTATCAAATAATTAGATGTACCCGGTAAATAGTTTGTCCACTCTTAAGGGTGACGTAAGCATTAGTGCTGCATCATCGTACTGGATCTCTCACGATTGGATCTTTCATTCAAATGAAACCAATTTCCTTCGAAGATATCCAAAGTTCAAACAGATGACAACCATCAGTCATTCGTTAAGAATTAGGCCTAGGCCAACTAGTAAATGTATTCTGTATGTATTTAGACTACCTACTGACTGCTAGGAAAAAGCTATATTTGATGACGCAGTGGTATTTTAGTATTTTTATTTACCACACAAAATAAACCTAGTTCTGGCAACTGTGTTCTGGGTACAGCACTGGTTTGTGAGTGATCGGCTGTACCCAGCCTGACGTCACTCTTTTTATGAAATGGGATTTAAAATGTTTCATTGAAAAATTAATCTTCTGGGGGAGGGGTGCAAGGTGGTTTATTGGGGGGGGGGGGTGTGAAAGGTCAAAAAATTCGCAGGGGAATATATTATAATTTATATATATATATATATATATATATATATATATATATATATGTTGTTACGTACTGTTATCAGTATGGAGAAAGTAATCTCTTATTTAAGTATATGGCCTGGCTCGTTCTAAAACAGTAAACAACAAAAGACGATACCATACGTTAAATAAAAAAACAAAGAATACTATACTCAAATCAGCCAGTTACAATTAATAAATATTATTATTAAATATTATGTCAATTATAAATTACAAAATCAAACAGAAATAAAATTAAAGCTACCGTACCCGGTATTGACTTACAGAATAATGATTGGCTTGTACCGGTACAATGTTGAAGAAGATACAATGTTGTAAAAAGGGTGCAATGATAAAAAGGAATCTACACACAGTTCTTAAATACATTTACCTCCTGACCTTTAATTAATTTGTTTTTGTTCTTGTCATTGTTATGCTGTAAACTTATTTTAATTTTAACAATAACACATCCACATTGGAAGTCGGGGGAGGGGTGACACCATGAGTTTACGGCAACGGGTGGCACCAACCCTAGCAACGCCACTGGGTGAAGAGATGCCAACGTTTGACTTCTCTTGCACTAACAAAGTGTGCTAACATTCTGACCAGCCCTCTGTCGTGCACTAACAAAGTGTGCTAACATTCTGACCAGCCATCTGCAGTGCACTGACGGACGCACATTAAATAACTCTTATATTTTAAAAGGATAAACAAATATTACTATTTACACTCAAAATGTTTAAAATAATGTAAGAACCAGCCAATTTTTAAGATTAAAATTTTAATAGTAAAAACATGATTGTTGACGTCAACTAATCTAAACCCCCCCCCTCCCCCTTGTCAACAACTGTCAAGAATTTCCACCCCCCCCCCTTCCTATTTTGTTGACGTAATTAATGGACGTCCCCTTTAAAATTGACAGTGTGCGTCTGAAAGTTCACTTTGATGAGAATAAAAGTTGAAATAAATCAGTCTGATTTCTTCACACTTTGTGTGCATCCCCAGATGATCTAATCAGAGGCGTAGCTAAGGGAGTCCAGAGGGGGGGGGGACAAGTGTCCCTAGGTGCCAGGATAACTAGGGGCGCCAAAATGCGTTTTGATATTATTTTGATTAAAATAAAGGGTTTGACAGTTGAAAAAAGAAAGGGAG